AGTACAACCAGGGACATCTGGAAGAGTCTAGAGCAGGGAGAGAAAGCAGTAGAGTGAACATGGCCAGCAGACTGGACCTGCCATGGGGGGGCGGGAGGTAAAGACAGTGTCAGCAAAGGAGACCAGGAGAGTATGCAGCTGAAGTGGTAGCCTTAGAAGAAGAATGAGAGGCTGGGCTGGGGAGCCCACGAGCTGGAGAGGTTTAGAGTAGGGGTGAGGTGAGAAGAGCCAGGATGCCAGCATGGACTCTGACACTGGTAACAGGTACTTGTGATACTCAGGGACCTGGAGGCCAGCATGTTGTCATGCTGTTAGGCACCACAGATAGCCATGTGCTCCTTTTGCCAGTGACAAGGGGACTGGCCCCTTCATAGTTCCTGAGGAGTGCTGCTTTTGTCCAGTCGCCAGAATCTGGGCCTGACAGCAAGACCCTGGCTCAAAAACAAAACAAAACAACCTATTTTATGTGTATGGGTGTTTTGCCTGCATGTATGTCTGTGCCTTATAACAATGCCAAGGGGTGGAGCAGAAGACCTCCCCCTTGCTAGTTACAGTCACCTGGTACCCAGGCCCCTGGTCCAGTCAACCTCTTACGCAGTCCTGCTGGGTACAGCCACTAGGAAACCTAGTGGACTCCAACAGCGGATCACACCGTGTCCACAATCAGGAGGCAGAGAGAGATGAATGCAAGCATGTTGCTGCTCAGCGCCCCTTTCCTATTCAGTCAATATAATCAAGGTCATCCCACACAGGCACGCCCAGAGGCCCATTTCTCCGTTGATTCTGGATTCTTTCAAGTTGCTAGCACTCACCACCACAATGGTTAGTGCTGGTGAGACCAAGATGCCACTCTGCCACTTACTGGAAGTGAGCCTGGACAAGTTTCTTCCAACTTTTGCAGCCTTTGTTTTCCTGACTTAAAATCTAGACACTGACAGGCAGGGGACATGGCTGGGGACATGGTTGGGGACGTGGCTGGGGACATGGCTGGGGACATGGCTCAGTACTTAAGCGCTTGCTGAGCAAGACAAATACCAGAGTTCAGAGCCCCAGAACCCATATTAATGCCAGGCGGGCATGGTGGTTCACGTGGAATCCTAGCCTCAGAAGGCAGAGACAGAGGATCCCTAGACCAAGCTGGCTATGGAGACTAGCCATATCCAGGAATTCTGGGTTGATTGAAAGGCCCTGTCTGACTCATTGTATAAAGTGAGAGAGCAATTGAAAATTATTTCAGCTCTCAACCACGGGCCTCCAAGTGCATATGTACCCGTATTCACCACCCACCAGTGTGCCTATACATATGCACACATGACAAGCACACACACACACACACACACACACACACACAAATGGGGTGAGTGAGGAAAACATCTATACCATACACATGGCCTAGTTAATAACTGTGACCTATGGGAACTGTGCCTGGAACGTACTTAACAGACACAGCTTTCAGACGCATTACCCATGCCCTGGGTCTTCATCAGGCAAGGGAGGCTCGTGCCAGAAGAAACCCCACCTCCATCAAAGGCCACGTTACACGTTAGCAAGCTCGCTGTGGCTGTGACTCACACACATCTACAACAACTAACTTGTCTTCCAGTGAAAGGACTCACTCTCCTCCTGTGACAACCTAAATTGCCTTGATGGTTCATTTTTCTATTACATTTATTTATTTATTTATTTACGTGTGTCTGGGTATATTCCATGGTGTGTTTGGGGGGTGGGGGTGGGGTTGGGGGGGTGGGTGGGGTTTATTTGTGTGTGGGTGCAAATGTGTGTGTGCACATGTATGCCTACATGTGGTTGCCAAAAGACAACCCCTGGTACTTTTCCTTAGATGTTGTCCACTTGGGTTTTTCATTTTGTTTTCTCTCCTGTGGATTTTTGTTTTTGTTTTGTTTGGAGATGGGGTCTCGCTCATTAGCCTGGAACTCACCAGAGGCTGGGCTGGCCGGCCAGTGAGTTCCAGGGGACCACCTGTCTGTTTCTACTCCCCCAGCACTGAGGTTACAAAGATGTGCCACCACACCTGGGCTTTTAAAGTTATTCAGATTTATTTATTTGTGTACATGAGTGTTTCACCTGTATGCCACTGGAGTGCCTGATGCCCGTGGAGGTCAGAAAAGATGTCTGATTTTCCGAACTGAAGTCCAGAGGTTGTGAACCACCGTGCAGGTTCTGGGAACCAAATCCCAGTCCTCTGGAAGAGCAGCCAGTGTGCTTATCCCCTGAGCTGCCTCTCCAGTCCCAACAGCAAGCTTTTGGTTTGTCTGTTTGTTTTGTTTGTTTTGCAACAGGGTCCCTCTGTATAGCCCTGACTGGCCTGGAACTCACTTTGTAGACCAGGCTGGCCTTGGATTCACAGAGATCCACCTGCCTCTGCCTCACAAGTGCTAGGATTAAAGGCAGGTCCCTCTACATCTGGCCACCTGAATTTATTTTTTTTAATATGTGTTATAAGTATCTAATTCAGGTTCATCTATTTGCAGAGCAAGCCCTTTACCAACTCCGGCCCCCAACTTATGATTTCTGTTAAAAATTAAAGCTGTGGTTCTTGCAAACTTCCCACATGCTGTGATTGTCACTGACTTTCCTCACAGTTCCAGAATAGTCTTGACCTGTAAGGAAACAGCAATGGTTCCTAAGACCGGAGCTGTGGGTTTATTAATTCTTAACTCTTAGCAAAGGCTTTCTTGCAGACTCTTCCAGGGGCTGAAGTAGCTCTCATGGGAGGTGAGTTCTTGGTACTCCTGCTTCCCTTTACAGCTCAGCTCACCAGGATCTTGTCTCTCAAGGCACATCCCACCTTTCCCGGGACCTTTGTCAACCCACTTCAGTCAGGCTTTTCCTTCACCACAGAAAATCTCGAATGTTTCATTCTGTCTCCTGGAGCTCCTCAGCTACGAAAATTGCTGTGATTACTGCCTCCCCGCAGTTTTCCTGCAGAGGTAGAAGATCTAATTTGCATTTTAGAATAGTTCATGCAGACTAGCGTTCCAGGCGAGGGAAGTAAGAAGGATGGCTCGGGCATGCACTTATCTGTGGGCCGTGGCTATAATGCCTGTGTGATGGGTTCCTTTCCTTTGCAGAGAAATCTGAACTCTTTGGATGAAGAATGCTTGGAAGAGGCAGGGGAAATATAAGGGAAGGGAAGACATTACATAGATAAAACAGAAACAGGATGAAGCTAGTGGGTAATGTTTGCCCAGTAAGAGAGACACCCTGAATTCAGTCTCTAGCCCTGGGTGGCAGGGTGGTTTGATGGTGGTGGTGGTGGTGGTGGTGGTGGTGGTGGTGGTGGTGGTGTGGTGGTGGTG